ATTTTTTGTTGCCAGACTGTTTAAAATCAAACGGCTTTCCCCAGGTTGTCACAGACAGCTGGTCAGACACACGAATAATATGTCTATCTGAAAGCCACCAGAAAGACTAAGAACTTTTAATTAAAGTCTCTCAGGACTGTTTATGAGATTCAATGCTAGATCCTCATCCCCCTTCCAGGCATTTAAACATCACCCTGCTCAAGTCCCTGACAACTGTTACCTTAATCTTAAAATAAAGGTGCAGTAAGTAGCAATAAGTAGTGAGGAGGAAAAGGAGCTGTGTGTTAGGTTTTTCAAGGACTTGGTAAAGCAGAAAGAATTGCCAAGGCACTGAATAGAGAGGTGCAACAGTATCTGGTCCAAACCTCTACCCTAGCAAACTGGGGGCACTGTTAATTAAGGTCACATCTGCATGAGCATTGATATTAAGCTGCAAAAACGTTAAGGCAGACAAAGCCAAGAAAGAATAGAGAAGGAAAGAGCAGATGGACGAAGCAGCCAAGGTGAAAAGTAACCCTGCAGCAGCGTCCGGCCAGCAGAGAGAACAGGACAGAAGAAAGCGGCGATTATGGCAGATCTACTACTGCCATATCAGCTTTCAGCTTTATTGGCCTGTCCATAGCTTGTCTCTCACAAAGGTCAGAGTACGTGCCTGATTAAAAGTGACGTGGTAGCATGACACATTAAAGGCATTCCTCCGTGAACCGAGAGAGTAATCTAGCTACCACTTTCAAAAAAATCAGAGCAACAAAAGAAGCTGGATTTCTCCAAGAAAAAAAAAATCCAGCTGGAGCTGAGGAGATTGGGTTCAAAAAGGATGGACTGGGCTTTTCATGTGAACAGACAGGGAATAGTTTTGACCCCAGTTATTCCACCAGCCAGATCCATCACGCAACATGCAAGCACATGACCTACCTCCGAAACGAGTGGTGGGGTCATTTCAGCCATGATTTATACTGCCAACGGCGGTCTCCCATCTGGGGACAACATGCAAGCACGTGACCTACCTCCGAAACAAGTGGTGGGGTCATTTCAGCCATGACTTATACTGCCAACGGCGGTCTCCCATCTGGGGAGCTGGGAATCTCCCTACAGGTGACTTTCTTTGGAGTAAATCCTAATTTGTAGGACTAAAATGAACTACTTAAGCCTGCAAGCAGCAAAACTGGAGCTGCTTAGTAAACAGGGTGGTCGTCTCTGCTTTTCCCAGCAGATGCCCAAGCATAGCACCATTTATTACTAAGCCAGGTCTTCAAAGCAAGCTTGCTCCATCTACATTTGAGTTGCACAGAGCATGTTATACAGTGCAACTTTCCATCCTTAATTAATGCAGGTAATAGGGTGAGACATGACTGCCAATGATGACAGAGTGAAAGTCCCAAAGATCTCAGGTTTTCTTCCAAAGAAATTTAGCATAACAAATCTCCCTGCTTAAGTCAACATGGAGTAGGAAGCTTCAAGGCAGGCCAGCAGGACATGACGGATCTGCTTTTGAATAGCAGTATCGGCTCATTTAGCAAACTAAAGATAAGGGTGCACTTTATAAACGTTGCTTGCAAAGAGGAGAGACTAAAACGAATGCCCTTTGTGCAAAGCCAGAGGAAAAACTACAGTAACTCTATCCCCGCTTCAGACATCTTGCAGCAAAACATTGACATTAGGTCTCCCAAGTAAAGATTGGATAGCTGCTTATAATAAAGTAATCAGAAAATGACTAATCAGAAGAGATTTGAGAGCTCACCGAACCTTTACCTGCTGAATCAGGAGTTTTAAAGCTGTGTGATGGCTACATCGCAAGCAGGAGCATGAACTCCCTGCTCCTGTGCAGTGAACAGGGCACCAATGTGGAAAGCTGCATAAGATTTCATGGACCGTGCAATGTTCCCCCAAAAGATTCACACTGGAAGGGGCACATTTGAGACAGGAAAATTGCTTTCCGATACATGTCGATAAAGCTCTTTAGACAAACCTGAGTCCCTCTGCTACAGAGCATACTTGGATATCTTTAGCTCTACAAAGGAGCCATTGGTACCATCTACATGCTCCAGAGGTTAACCGCTGGAAGAGCATCTTGAGACTGGGCTGTGGTCTGGCTTGTGTAGCCAGACAGACCACAAGAAGCCCCTTTATTCCCCTGCACTGATTCCCCATCCTGGCTCACCAGACAAGCAGGCAGGGGAAGCAGAAAGCATATACCGATTACACTGTAGGTCTGGCAGGGCCAGGTACCGGCCTGGAGGGACGCGAGAAGAGAGAGAGACTGCAGCTCTCAGAGATGAGCTCCCTCCCCATCTGCCCCAGGGACAGCCCAACAGCAAGTCGGCCTCGCAGCAGTCATGCAAACAAAGATGGGTTAGTTAGTTATACAGTCCTTTCTTCATGTACAGCATCATCTCCTGGAGATATCACATGAAACTAAACAGTCTCGCTGTGTTAAAAAGCCAATTTTTCCAACTATTTGAGTTGGTCTAATAAAAGATATCAGATTTACCCAAAAACCCTTGTCTGCCTATGTCTTTACACCAACACGGCTACACCCCCATCTCCAACAGCAGCACCGCAAAGGACGTGCTCAAGGAGGATTTTAGCCCTGGTTTCACAGGCTGTCACCCTGTTTACCCGGCAGTAAGACAAGATCTGGGAAAAGCACCTGCCACCCAACCGTTGCAAGGAGTGGCTTATTGACAAGGCATGATATAATTGCTTTTGTATTTAGGAACAAGACCAAACAAGCGGGAAGCATCTTGCCAGTCTAGAAGCTCATATGGAAACCAGAAGTGCTTATAAAACTAGTAGGGCTAAAAAAAGTACTTCTGCTAAATATTGGCGTTTCAAATGCAGCAGTCGCACTGATGAGGTTTATAAATAAATTAGTTTGCATGAATCAGAAGCCTACATGGTCTGCAACACGTATAGGACCACACCGTATTTGCACACTGCACTCTCAATCTTTTTTCTTCAGGCCCTGGCAAGCAGAAAGCACTCAGAGGTGTTCCTTAGCTAAATGCAAAGTAAAAGCAAAGGGCAGGGTTGGTGCAATTTGTTTGTACACACATGCATCCATGCACATACAGTCACCACAAATGAACTCATCTTCTCAGCCCCCAAAGACATTTCAGAAGTAGCCACATCAAGGAGTGTGCCAGGACATTTATTCTCGTCAGTCCAAGCAGACAACAATGCAGAGGACCCAGGTCAGCTTGTGAAGATAACACAGCTTTCCTTAGACCCCCTACCAGGGCCATCTACCACCCAATGTTTGCACCACCTAGCTATTAACATTCAACACAGAGGAGACCTCCTGTATTATTTCAACCCTAAGACACAATTCTTATAACCAAATTTCTTCTAAAAAAGAAAAAAGCCTGCGTTGCATCTAAAACCAGAGTGGAAATAAAGCTCTCACATAGGTACCATATACGCTGCTTTCTTGTAAAGAGGCAAACAAGGTGCTTTGGGTAAATGTGAGATCTTTTATTAGACCAACTAAATAGTTGGAAAAATTGTTCTTTGCACAATGTTGTGCCCAAGACCTTGCAAAGAACAGGTTTTCCAACTGTTCCAATAAAAAAAGATATCGCATCTACCCAAAGAACCTCCTTAGACACAGCTACAACCAACAACCCTGAAGCAGTCTTGTAAAAACATTTCTTTGGAGTGGGTGCATCTTAAATTCAAGGACCTCTTATATTCAAAACTGTTTTAAACCAAATTAAGAACCATGATTCCCAAAGAGTTTCAACCACTTATCTCCTCAGTCTACAACAGAAACAAACCAGGCTGCAGCTCATTATGGCCCTAACCATGTGGTGAACAGAGTTATTTCATAGTACAAAGCTTTGTGTGGATGCATGTCATGGCTAATGAACTAGCAACGGCAAGCTGATTACGACATTCTTCAGTTCTGATAAGGCCACAAGAGAGATCAGATAAGAATGCAAGATAGCGCGTTTTATTGTCAGAGGAGGAGAGGATAAAAGAGAAGCTCTGTTGCTTAACTAAAGGAATGTGGAGGAAAAGTCACATTTACCGAGCACAGCAACATCCTCAGAAGTAGCTTTGCAAAGCGTACAACTTTCACAGCTATGAAGCTCAACAGAGAACAGTTTAATGCAGCGAAGCATTTCCCTTTATTCGCTAGCAGAAGTAAGAACTGCTCCTTCCGTGTTCCCTTTGGGATATGCTGCATATTTAAAATACAAGTAACTAGCAATGAAGTCTCTGCAAAATGAGACCAGCTTAATAAACCAACTGCCTACCTTTCTGCCCCAACAGCCTGTTCACACTGCATCATGAAGAGACTAGAAACTGCTTACCCTTTACCAAGGCATCACAAATGGATGCATTTATTTTTTAAAAAGCTTCTTGGAGGCTTTTTAAAAAGACGAGATTCTCTCTACCCACAACCAATCGCTACACGTGCCATCTTTGCCTTTCAGCTTTCAGGAGCACAGCGTCCTGGGATACAAGCACACCCCAAGACAAGCATAGGCGGTGTTAAGATATTTTAACTGGTTGTTTTCTATCGGGATATGAAGTTCAAGACAGGGATGCTTCCTTACTTTACACTAGTAAAAAAGAGGCATAAGTTGGATTTGAGATCCCGCCTCCAGCACCTGAAACTTTAGCCTGCAAAACAGAATGGTACACCTGGCCAAGGTTGTGTGTCAGAGAAAGAAGGCCCCAAATGACTGCCCAGGGATCGCACCACACCTCCTCCCTCCCCTTCCAAAGAAGGGCCAGGTATCAGGGGGGCAGGCTAACCCAGGAGAAGTGGGCAATGCTGATGGTAGTCCACCGGTCTGAAAACGCAGGGACCCACTGCTCGAGGAGCTCCACCTCTCCGATTCATGCTGAAACACATTTAAGCATGCAATTCCAGGGGTTCCAGAACGCTGCTAGATACCAGTAACCATCATTTGTAACAACACCCTAAAATAGCTGGAGCACAAGCTGTGTTAACAATCAAGTAAATGCAGTTAAAGGTTGATGGGATTTACCGTGTTAGATCGGTGGTCCAATCTACGCACTTCTCCAAGCTGCCGGTACTCCGAGAATTCACGACCACGCCAGGAACCGCAACAGTAGTGAAGCATTTTGCAGCCAGGTGCCAAAGCTTTCCTGGCTCCTTTAGGCAAAGCAAAGCAACATTTCTTACTCAGTGGTTGTGGCCCAAGATGAGCACAGTGTGTGTCCATGTAATTTTCCAGCCATTTTAAATGCTCCAACATGAAGATGCATCTTGATCCCGTGCAGCAATGAATTCTGCAACACACCACTCTGAAATAAGCAGTATTTTCCTTTATAGGCTCTAAATTCACTGCAGTCCAGTTTTGATTCCCTTCCCTATGCCAGTGCGGCCTTAGCGAGAAGCGTGGTTCTCACCACTCCCCTCATTTCACTATAGTACCGAGCCCCCTTGCAGTCTCATTTCAAGTTAACAAGTCCTCGTCACCGAAGCTGGTCGGCAGATCTCAACCGTTTTGCTCACCTCTGCCGCAACCTTGTCAAATTTTATAATGGACCAACTGAAAACAACCAGAGAAACCCCTGGTCAGTGATATCCTTTCAGCAGTTCCTCTCAAGGGCATCCAAGGACCCCACATGTACTTAACTTCTGTGCCATGGCATCGGAAACCTTCAGAAGGGCCCACGACAGCTCCTTCAGCCCCCAAGCCCGTGTGCACGGAGAAAAAGGTCACACTATTTTTGTGCAGTGTAAGGTAACACCTGCTAATAAGTGAAGCCTCCTCTGTCACCAACAAGGTCTTGCCTTCTCCTGTTTCCCTTGCACCGCAGGGATTAGGACTGCTCAGCTGAAAATCATTTCCAAGTCTATCACGTTACGGACCTGGGCATTCAGCCTCCCTGAAATATTTTCAATAATTATTTGTTTTCTGGCTAAAGGGCAATGCTTATAAACATATTTATGGTGGAAGCATCCACAACACGATAGCACAAAAGCTTTTTTTTTTTTTTTTTTTTTTTTAATTATACCCGGCGTTCGTGAAAAACAAGATTAAGTTAAGCCAAGAATGACAGAACAGCTAGCGCGAAGGAATCGGGAGCAATGATTCCCATGGGCAACAATAGTGAGCACGTCCCGTTCTGCAGGCCCCAGGAGACCTCGCTATCAGTCAACCTGGAGAAACTTTATCTGCAGGAAGCCAAATTTCCTTTTCAGCAGTGATGGAGCTGCTGAACGCATTATCCGTGGGTGGTGGCCTAGGAACTGCTCCTGCAAAAGGACAGCTTTAGTTGCTACTGCCAGTTGCAGTTTTACCCTTTGCGATTTAAGTCCAACGTTTCTGAATAAAGCAGCTCCGAAACCACACGGCAAGGCAGGATGACTCTACCTCTGCCTACAGGGGCTGACGACATCCATTCAGACCCTGTGCAAGGGACTTTTATTGGTTTCTCCAGCCTGCTAATAAAGCAGACAGAAGTCAGACTCGAAGGCAGGTTGCTCCACATTCTCTACAATGAGACATTACGTGACTACATTAGTGTAACTGCATTCCTCCTGCATCCTAATCCTCCCTTTCTGTCCCTCCCACACAAGCACGCTCATTTTTGTGACACTCTCCTCCCCCACAAACTCATCTCTTCCAGCTCTCCGCACTCCCTTGTCATCACAACCCTCTCGCCTCCCTTCTCCGGACCCAGTTTTGGGTGGCACTTTTTAGCAGGCCTGCAAATGCACGTGGGGCTGTACTCAGCAACACCTGAAAACGGATCCTGCCAGACGGCAACAGCTATTTGCAGAGAGTATTAGTAAAAAAACAAACCGTCCAAAATTCAGTCTCAAAGAAAAAGATCATTTTTTGACGATTTCTAATAAAAGGTATAAACTCGGAACCAAGTTCTACAGTTTTGCGTGTCTCAAAGAGCATAAGTTGGGCGAATGCACACACTTGAAAGGACCAGTACAGCATCTCCATCTACCTTGAATTCCAGGAGTCGTGGGCAGACTCGGCTGCCTTTCCTCCCATCCAGAACACAATCTTTTGTGACGTATTAATTGCAGGAGGGATGCTGAATTCCTAGCCTACGCAGGAAGAACGCAGCTCCTCGGCACAAACTACACCTCAGAGAGATGTATGTACAGCATCGGTATGGATTTGGGAGTCTCAAGCATGCAGGATATTTGGGGGAAATGCTGCTGCGAGCACCTCGACTGTAACAAAGCAGCAGTTAAGAGAGTGACGTTCACCCAGGGGAAAAAATCCATTTGCCATTCTTGAAAGCAACATTTTCCCAGTTAGCGCACCAGGCCCTCAAGCTCGGTAGAGTTCGGCATTTTATTTCGAGAGAGCCTGGCACCTCCTAAATACAAAGCAAAACTTTGTCCTCCCGAGACCAGACAACTCCCCTGTCTGCCCAAGTGAGCAGCAGCATCCTGAAACTCAGATGTCCGGACGATTTCACGGTCCTTCCAAACTTTGCAGCGATGCATTTATCGTGTTCGCTGCTACCGTTCGGAAAAGACTACGAAAAGGAGGTGGGCTCTGAAGTTACGAGCGGAGGATCGCTAGCCCGCAACACAGGCGGCGTGGCGCAGCGTGCCTGGGGAGCTGAGTCTAGACAGGGGGAAGGTTTTGAGTCCACCCCCAAGCCTTCCCCTTTGCCCCAACCCGCGAGCACAGCTTTCGTTGCAATCTCACGAGCGAGTGCTTGATGCAAACGGTAAATAGCTCACGGCCTCCTCACCCACCACCAACCTCATCACGGCTGCCGGCGTAACGGCTGGGACCGACGACACCGACACGCCAACAAAAGCGGGGTCTTCCGAGGCAGCTCCACCACCTCGGTCCTGATCTCTCCGCGTCGCAAAAGCAGCTTCTCTTCGTGCATCCAAACAGTCCCAGCTTTTAACGGCACTGCGTCGTGGAGGGGCCGCGCCGACCCGTGCCGCGCAGGCCGGCATTGGGCCCGTCCTTTCCTTGTTGCCCCCAAAAAACCACAACCCGCCGAACACGCCGACGCTGCCCTCTCTAAAGCCGGCCCCGACTTTGATTGCCACCGTTACGGGCTGGGAAACGATTGCCACCGCTGTTACCGCCACCGTTTTAGGCTGCAAAAGTCGAGGCCGGTCATGCAGGAGAAGATATAATAAAAGAGATCGAATTGACCCAAAAACCCTCCTGTAGCAGATGATGCGGGCGGTGCCAGGCCGTGCACCGGACACGCGGGTGAAGGACCCCCCCGCGCGCAGCTTTGCTCCGAAATACGCCGCCGCGGCGCTTCCCAAGGGGTCCTTCGGGAGCCAGCGAGCGGTGAAGGGGGGGATCCCTGGATGAGATCCCGGGGCGACGCCGGGCCCCCCGCATCGTCGCTCCCGCCGTCACCACCCGGCCAAACGTGAGACGCATCACCTGAGGTCTCGGGAATGGGGGCAGCTCCGGAGTCGCTCTGGATTGCTGCGTTCACACACGGCACCAGGACCCACGCTCTGGAGTCGCTCCGGATCGGGGAGTTCACATGCGCCACCACCCCTGGGACACACACTCCAGAGTCGCTCCGCATCAGGGTGTTCACACCACCCCTGGGACACGCACTCCAGAGTCGCTCCGGGTCGGGGTGTTCACACATGCCACCGCCCCTGGGACATGCACTCTGGAGTCGCTCCAGATCGGGGTGTTCACACGCGCCATCGCCCCTGGGACACGCACTCTGGAGTCGCTCCAGATCAGGGCATTCACACGCGCCACCGCCCGTGGGACGCACACTCCAGAGTGGCTCCAGATCAGGGCGTTCACACATGCCACTGTCCCCAGGACCCCACACTCTGGAGTCACCCTGGATCAGGGCGTTCACACGCGCCACCGCCCCCGGGACCCGCACTCCGGAGCGACTCCGGCTCGAGGCGATCACTCACCGCGCCGCCGCCCGGCGCCTCATGCTTCCTGAGGCGGGACTTGAGGCTCTTCATGACACCGCTG